AGGGCCCATGGAGAATGTTAGTACTTGACAGGTGACTCTGTATTCGGTCAGTAAAGCCCCAGGTAAGGCAGCTAACTGCAACAATGTCCTTTCTACAGGGAGCTAGGATAAGCCAAAAAAAGCAATTGATTTGCTCAAAGCAAAGGAAGAAATCGGCGTTGGAGAAACAGGAGATGCCATGCAGCATTGCTCAGCTTTTCCTGCTGTCCTGAAAATTGTCTGTCCAGACACTTGCTACTATAATTGAAGTGCCTGTGAATGGGCATCTGTGGGGAAAGATGGAAACAGACTACATATGATTAAGTGAAAATTTCCTCTTCTGTTTTGCTTTTACTGTCTGTTACTGAGGTTCTTTCTGTGTAAGATAATGAGTGTTCCCATAGAAATGGCTGTGAAATCTTGATAATTCATTGGAAAGTCAAATGCTTCAAACCTTTTAGCACAAATTGAAGCACATCAAAGGCTGCAAACAAGGAGTCTGGTTTCTGGTAAGTTTCTTTTTTGGTTTGGTGTGTTAAACACAAATGCAGACTTTCTCACTAGAGAATATCCATTTTTCCCACTTCCAGATGGCTCTGAAGAATTGCATTTGTGCTGGGAGAAGGGAATTCCAAGGAGATTGGTGGCCCTTTTCACGGAGTAAGCATTTTCCACAGGCGGGGTTATGCCAACCATTAAATGACTAACGTGTAATTAGGAGGCTGCATACTTATAGTTGTCATGTCCCCTGATGCCAAGGGAGTCCAGGACAGCTGTGGAGGAGTGAGCACCAAGGGAGACTGTACTTAGCCGACCAAGCCATTTATGTCTGTGGTGTTCGGCCTTTGTGTTGGCTGAAGTGGGAGGCAAATGACTTAGCATTGCAGACAGCGCGGTGCCTCTCTTGAGTAGGATTTTCAGTCAGGGTACGGTAGAAGGTGCTGCCTCTCAGGAGAAGGCCTGCCATAGGGATACAAGTTGGACAGAAAGGGAGTGCTGGAAAAGGGAAATTTAACGTACTTCCTGTTCTGCTGTGGTGAAGAACAAGTCTTGCCTGGGCCGGTTTATCTGCTCTGTCCATCTCTGCCTGGGGAGCTCTTTGATGCAGAGCTGATCCGAAGGTTGGAGTCTCCTTATCGACTCCATGTGTTTGTTTTTATTCTGAAGTTCGCTCCCTCATTTTGCAATAACCCACAGGGTGCTGGGTGTTGCGCCAGCCGTGCCTCAATGAAGGATCTTCATTCAACACCTTTCCCTTCCCACCACACCAGTCAATGCGACTCCTGCATTTTCCAGCAGCATTCGCTCCGCAGTCCAGACTTCAGCCAAGCCTTGGTTGGCGGTCAAAAAGGCTACCAGACCTACCGGGACCTACCATGGGACCTTCAAAAGTAGGTGGCGTGTTTTAAGTTGGCAAGTCTGATTTGGAGGTGTAATGATGGTAAAGGATGTTGCTTGTGGGAGAGCTTTAGGACTTCAAGGACATATATAAATCTAGGGGAGAAATCTGTTTGTTCTTTTGCCCGACTTTGGACCTGGTTGCTCTATCTGCTCCTTTTATCCTTTTAGATCTAGGGTATATCATGGACCTGTCTGAAATGTGCAGCCTGAGAAGGGGCAACAGGCAGAGGGGAAGCTAAACAGTAAATTGCAGGCTGAAAGGAAGGTTTTGGAGGTTGTGATATGGAGGAAAAGAAGAATATATGGCTGGAATGAGAAATGCAGGGGGAAATCCTTCCCTAGCATGGCCAGGAGCACAAAGATTTGCTTTCAGTTCAGAAAGCCGATGTAATAGCTTAGGTTGACACTTCTCTTTCCTTCCTGCGATTGTCTGATCCTGCCACCAGCAGGATTTTACTGCAGCAGTGCAAAATCCAGGAAGCTCTTTTGGGTCAAAATCAAAGTTTTATAACACTATTTTGGGAGACAGTGGGCTTTGGTCACGTCCAATTGCAATATTATTTCTCCCAAACCCTGCAAAAGGTCCCAGTGAAATCAGTGATGGTAGCACAGCTACTTAAGGAGAAGGCTATCGGTGTTCATCGTTCCAGCTAGACACTAGTACTTGTAAGGAAAAAGCCATGATTTCTGTGGAGCACTGACAAGGTGTTCTGTGTCTGAAAGTATTTTGTGCAGTCAGAGATGCTGAGCAATACTTAGTTTTGTTTTGCTGTAACTTAATATTGAAGACAGTGCTGGTAAGTTCAGAGTATTTTTACAAAAATAAGTCTTCCAGTTGCAGTGCTCTACTGTGCTCTCTTGGGTTGGAGCAGGGATCTGGTCATAAGTGTACAGTGAGCTTCGTGGCATTTGTTGTTTCTGCTTTAATGCTCTGGCTCCTGGTTTCATGTGGTGATAGGAGATTCCCTCGAGTTTGTTCTTTGTTGTTGGCTCTGCAATTGATGAAGCTTAAAATTATGACCTCAGAAACAAAATCCAAAGAATCTGAAACGATCTGAGTTTTTCTTTTGGTTTATTTTGCTTTTTAACATGGTAACAATTTGTCTGGATGGCTGAATTTTTGCGTAGGATTGCTAAAGACTCTACACTATTTGTCTTCTCTCTGCCCTTGCTTTGTGCAAATGGCTGTGGATGGTTGCAAGATGCTATTTATTTTTCCATTCTCAGCGTTTTCAAAAATCAGGGTTTTTTAAAAAATAATTTCCTGACATGCTGAAATAGAAAGGTTGTTTCTGGATTGACAAATTTATTCTTTACCCTCATTTAAGTGTGTATCTCTTTTTGTGAGGGCAATAACATTTTAGTCAATGCAGTGTTGACTTTGCCAGAAGAAGACTGAGTTCAGCATTTGGCTCTGTGCTCCTTAGTGGTACCCTGCTCGATACCCAGAGATGCTGTACTCTGTTTAATATCTGTACCTTTAAAGCTACGCTGCTCTGTCAGGTGAGGGAGAAATCCTCATCAGTTGTGAATACCAGTTTGTGTGTGTTAGATAAAGAGGGAAAACAAAGTGTGAGTTCTCTACCTAGCAGGGTTGAAAAGCTATTCCTTTTTCTGGTTAGATGTAAGTCTAGTTGATATGTTTTCATGATAGTAACAGTGGTGTAAATAATTTTAATAACAGTGTGCTAGAGGGTAGTTAAAAAACATCTAAGTCCAGTTTGATTGCCTTGTAGTTAGGAAAGGATTTAGTTGTTTGAATAATTGTTTAGATTATTGTAAAATGTTGGGGGAAGTCTGTGTTGGATAATGGATAATGCAGGGATAGAGACTGCTTGGTCTTAATCAAAGACCCTGCGTAGCCAGTTAAATGTCTCTTTGCTGGGCAGGGATGTAGATCTGAGCATGGAGCTATGTAAGTCTTGGAGCTTGAGCACATCGTGCTCTGCCTTAGTCTTTTATAAGAGCAGTGCTTCAGTATTAGCTTTATCCAGTTCCAAGATACCTCTCTTCACAACATTTCAAGCTAAGTTGGCTCCTGTGCTCTGTAAGATCCTTCAGGAAGCGAAGCTGCTAAGGAAAACTGGGTGGAGTAGACAGCCTCGTGGCACAGTGTGTCCTTCCTCTGTGTCCTGCAGTCTGGGGAGCAAATGCAGTGTCATACCTGCAACTTCACTGTGAAGATTCGTGCCCTGGTAGGGTGAGGTGCAGAGTAGCTGGTGTTGTATACAGGAGTCTAAAAGTGAATATGTAGGTGGAAATGCAATGCCACTTGCACCAATTTGTCATTCAGTAGGTGGGCAAATGAGTGTAAATTACAGACTGCTGAGGTGTAGCAGGAAGTGAATACCAGCCCTCGTGCAAGGACACTCATGTCCCATTTGCGTTAGTGGGAGTTGCACTTGATTATTGCAGAGGCAGTTGTGGTTCCTGCATGGTACCAAACAGAAACTGCTCAGTTTGCTCCAGTCTACATCCTGCCTGATTCCAGGAAACTCCAGTTGAATACTTTTCTGTCACCACACCTGATTTGCCTCATATGGAATCGGTACCATTTGTCTTTCCTTGCCACATTCACTCAGTTTCTGACTGTTTTAAACAGAAAAGCAGAATGAGAGAGGACCTCCTCCTGAGCCTTAACCTCCAGCAGTCTTCATTAACTGAGCAAGCCCCAGTGCAAACCCAGCAGCTTTCCTGGCCTCTGCTGCTCCTGTTAGAGGATGTTGCAGAAGTACCTCACTTCATTAATTTTTTTTTTTTTTTTCACAAACAGCTTTATGATTGTGCATTTTGGGTCAGCACAAGCCGCAAAAATAAACTCATTCTGCTTCCATCACAGACTCCTTCCATTTCTGTATTTCTGGTTATACAGAGATCTTCACTCTGAATGAAGCACAAAGCTGGGGATGGATTAATTTGACATGCCTCTGATACAAGACAATTGTAAAACTTCATGTGCTCTGATGTGGACAGATTTGGTGATAACAGGGGGACAGATTTCACAGAGAACTGAAGATGGGAATTATAAAGTGGCGCTGGCACTGGAGAATTACCCAGGGTTTCAGAGTATCAGCTGAATCTCTTGTCTAAGGAGCCTTTTCTCATTTCAGCAGCATTTCTCCTGTGATGAAATCTGTCCATCTCTGTTCAGTGCAAACTGTTTATCTACCTAGGCTAGCAATTGTTTATTTTATATAAACTATAATACACGGAAAACCTTATTCAGCCAGAAACATAAGCTTCCAAACTACAGGAAAATCTGGGCACATTGGGCCTGATTCTCAGTGGATATAACCTGTCACAGATGCCCACAAAATATCATGGAGGCAGAAGGGCTGGTCTGTTGTGTCAGGCTTGCAGAACTCTTCAGGAGTGATGTACGTATCGTTGTTTTACTGTGACATTTCATATACCAGTAAACTGATCTATTTCAGTAAACAGATTGAAACACCATCACTGTCTATTATGTGTGTATTTATGTATTACAATTATTGCTAAGGCTTGTACAGGCTTTTTGTAATTTTTTTCTCAAAGCACCTTAATTAAAGGAGAAGTACTGCACATATTCTAAAGTTGTGGAGAAAATTTTGTCTGTTTAAACATGTCTCCCTTATAGGACTAAAACCAAAGGACATTTAATAGCCCACAAGAGATCATCTCCAGGTGACTGTTTTGGGTTTGGCTGCTGGGCTGTCCTGTCAGCACCTTTCTTTAGCAGACACTCGGTTTGTGCATGCCAAAGCAGGGCCTGTGTTCTCTTTCATGGTGCGTGCTGACTTAGCTAGACACGAGATCTGATACGAAGCTCGCTGCAGGTAGTGGAAGGGTTCCCAGAGGTGTCAGCATGCTTTCCTCCCTGGTGAGGAAGAGCTTTGAGGCTTTTCCTCTGAAGCAGGAGGTTGGACTTGTAGAAGACAGTATAAATTCTGCTTCTTTGCAAGAAGTGAACTTAAATTCCAGTAAGTAAAAGATACACTGTTTTGTAAACCAGCAGTTTCATGCTGCAGTGAGAAAGGGCATGCATGATTTATGTGATGTGATGCTTATGATACATCTGTGGAATGGCACCCTTAAAAAACCAAGTTAGGACATTAGGTAAGATTTTAAATTTTTCTGAGACTGATTGATCAGGGTGGTGGGGGGGGCGGAACCCAAATACAGATACAAAATGTGGGGCTCCAAATCACCTACCAGCACTCAGGAAAGGTCTGAGTGGATATTTCTAGGAAAACACCAGATGAATGCCCATTGAAAAAGCCAAGATATTGCTAAAAATTATTAGGAAACAAAGAGAGAACAAACAAGTAAAATTGATATGTCAGTGTCATCAATTTTACATCAGTTTTTGTTGTTTATCTTTGTCAGCAAATATTTCGCTCCTGTTCCTAATCAAACAAGTCTTAATCTGGGAATTGACAAACAGTCTTCTGACAACAGATGAAACTCAGTCCCTGACTGCAGTGTATTTAAGATTACTGCACGGGCTTGGTTGCCTGGGAAAGTGCAGAATCCCCGGGAGTAGAGAGGAGGACCACATAGGCTGCAGGCAAAAGGGACCCTGACAGAAAGCCCACTGAGGTCACTGGGAGACTTTGAGCTGATATTTGGTTCAGACATAAAATCCCTATTGCTGCTCTGGAGGATTTCAGTGACCTTCCCAGCTGGAGTGTTTTTAAATCCTGCTGTGCATTTCTAGATCATGCTCCCTGTTCCCTATCTGTTGAGCAGATGGTTCCTAAGGACTTATGAGGGACTACTTGAGTCTTGATCTGAGAAAAGAAATTCCCACTGTTGAACTTTTATCAGCTCTCTGCAGAGTATTCAAGCTCTGATGGGATATTGTGTGGATTGAAGCTCTTTCAGTTTTGGGATAGTTACTTCTCTCGTGTGTATTGAACTACTCTAAGTACTGTCCACTGTCCAACTTTACACAATGACACCTGCTGTCAGAAATAATTCATCTTTGAGGAATGAATCCCAGGAGACAGAGAAAAGCAGAGTTAACAGGAATGGAAAAGTATCACCCTAGCAGTCTTTGTGCTTTTGTCTCACACAAATATCTCTGAAAACCTGGATTTGAAATCCTCCTGGTGTGCTCAGTCCACACTTCCATTCAAGAGGAGAAGTATCCAGATGGTACAGCCTGACCAAGGACATTTTACTCAAAAATACCTTTTCTTTTAAAAACAATTTTTTGTTTTTAGAACTAATTAAGAATGCAGAGTAAACCTTAATGGTCATTTCATGTTGTTATTTAAAAGCAAGTGGGAAAGTTTATTCAGGAAAAAAAAAAAGGAAGTTAAAAAAAAAGACATCCCAAGTCCCAAAAGAGCCCTCTCTCTATTGAGTGACTTTACAAGGGGTATTTATCAAACAACTTATTGTCTGAGGAAACTGAATTTAGAGGCTGGTGCTGAGTCCCTTCTGCACCTCTTTGAAATGATGGTCTCGAACAAGTTTCGTTAATTAAGTGAAAGTCATGTCTGTGAGTAAAATTACATGTGTGAGCAACTGCTGTGGACTGGGGTTTCTGTTTGCTAAACAGTAACATGGAACTTGAAAGGGAAGAAATGAAGAATAAGAGTTATAAACATTTTATACTATGTACAAAAGAATGCTGAGAAGGTTTCAAATTATATAGTACCCTGTATTTAACTGTGTCCCTGCCATGTTACTTGTGGTCTGACACCGCTCTCTTGCTGATACGATAGGCAGTTATTTCTTCCTGCTCGCAGGTTGCGGTGTAGAGGTGGCACTCAGCCTTTTAAATGGGCTTCTCAAACCCAGCATTTTGGCTTGGGGCTACGCCAGGATCATTACACCTGAGAGACCTTCCGAGTGTTTTTCCTTCTGTGCAGCTTCAGGAAGACTGTGCAGCCTTTTAAATGAGAGTATCTACAAGAAGGAATGTGAGTAGGTTGTGTCAAGTTAATAGCAGGTGTTTTTGTTTTGTTTAGCTTTTTTTTTTTTGTAACTTAGTCTCACTTCAAACAGAGTAGAAACATTTGCAAAGGACATGAGCTGTGCAAAGGATAACTAGCTGGAGTGGTGGAGAAAACAAAACCCATATGGCAAATTAGAGCTGAACTCACCACTGACTTCATGGTTTCACCTAAGAGCTACTATTTAGAAAGACACTTCTTAATGAGGTAGAGAGGTAGAGTCCTGATTGTTTATACCTGCATGGTTTTCATTTCTCCAGTTCAAGTTTTAAGGGAATTTCCATACAGTAGCCTCAGAAATAACCTTGGAGCTGCTCATCTCCAAAGTCTTTAACAGCACTACTTAATTTCAGCCTTGTTTATTTTATGGATTCACAGATACATTTTAAAGCAGGCCAGATGAGATGAGAGGTTAATAGCTGGTTTAGAGGTGAGGAGTGAAGGCAACACAGCTAGGAAAGCCAGAGCAAGTCAGAACAGATATGAATGACAAATTGAGTATTCCTATTTTCACTCAATCAAATGTCACGATATTTAGTCTGAGCTGTTTCCCAAGCTGACAAGGCTGTAATTGTGAGGCTTGACAATGCAATTAGAATGCAATATCAGAACCTAATTCGATATTCATGCGCAGTGCACTCTACGCCTGCTGGCTCGTTCCTGCACACAGCTGCAGTGGTCGCTTGCAATTATTTTCAACTTATTTTCGTGTATTTACACTCATGGTTTATGAGGTATGTGTTCCAGAAGTGAGCTACGTGTACTGGGTTATGAGCATGGGAGCTGACGGAGGTCCCTCAGGAAAGGTCCCTGCAGCCTGCCTTCCTGGAGGAGGCTGCACCTTGACCTGAAGGTGTGTGTGCTTGCATAAAAGAGGTAGCTGGCTCTAGCATGAAGGACTCTGCCAGAATTTGTGGCTTCCTCTTCTGTATTTTGTAATTGCTGATAACAGTATAGAAAAATGGCTTTAAGGATCTTCAGATATCTTCAAGCTCATAGCCAAAGGCAGAATTTGCTGCAATTCACCTTTTGAGGCAGTTTTTTATCTAGCTATAAACTGACCTACTGACTATTGACTTCACCTTGAGTTAATTTGGCTTAGCACCTGCGTAATTAAGACCATGATGGAGAGAAGTATCTGGCGAAGTTTCATACTTGTGTTCCCTGGTCCACACATGTGTCCCTGCCCTTTCCTGTCATTCCATCACTTCAGCAGGTACTGCTTAGAGCAGTCCTTGTCTTCTGGTTTTAGATTTAGTCTGAGTAAAACACAAAGCACAGGCTGGCCCTTTGAAATCTGTTTCTCTTTTTTGTCCAGCCCTGCTTTGCAGGCTGAAATGGACTGAGCAGCTTCAATAATGTGTAAATATGTACTATACAAACCATGGGATGCTTTTTACTGATTTTATTGCACAAAGCAGTTTTGGAAGCAAAGATGCCAGTGCATCTGTGATAACTGATTTATTTAACCCATTGAAAGCTGCCTACGTTGCTGTATGAGAGTTTACCTAGATGAAAAATTAGTTTTATTCTTGCAGACTTCCAGCTGAGGATCATGTGAGAAAGTGCTTAGTGAGAATCCTATTTAATTAATAAAAAAACTTTAAACTTTATCTGTGTTCCATGTCTTCTAGGGTATCCTAACATCCACTTCAAATAGTCTTGAGTCATTATTTCATTTTCATGGGGTGTTCGGTGAGAAGTGAATTAATACTGCTGGAAGAAACAGCTGATGTTGAGGGAGAAAACTTTAGCTTCATTTTTTGGGGGTTTTAAATAGAAAAGAATTTCTTATTAATCTCTCTTTTTTCGTCTTCCCCTTTCTCCCCGTAGAATTCAGCAGCCATCTATCAAAATAAGACATCTTGAGCCCTGGAAAATTGCTTTAATTGTTATTGGAACAGCAGTGGCAGCAGCTATCACCGTTGGTCTTCTAGTTTATTTTCTGGCATATGGTAAGTTTTACATCATGTATCACGGTTCTGTTTCTACGTTTAGTGCACCTCCTGTAGGCTTGTTTTGCCACACAGTGCTGGGAGTGTACTTTTCATCAGTCTGCCTAAAGGTCACTTGGGGAAAAGCCACCAACTTCTCTAGAGCTCTTTCCTTCCTCATTTAGCTTCTTTGTAGATCTCTTGCGAACACTTCCTGGAGTGCAGGGTGGCTTAGGGCTGTGGTTTCTGTTGCCTTTCACTTGTTTTCACTCCTTTCACATCTTCCTTATCTACTTTTGTGATGAGGTCAACACACAAGTGTTCTGGGCTCTGTTATGTGACTGACAAACAGAGCCTTCAGCTTGTTATCCACCTGTGTTGTTTCTCTGTTCCCTTGCCCTGATCAGCAGCTGCTGCCTGCTGGGACTTGGCATTGGGTCGGCATAGGGGCCAGGAAGGAAGGTAGCTGTCTGGCAAGATGCAGCTTGTGACTGTGTGTGAGCACTAAGTGCTGTTCATTGGCCACAAATGTCACTGCTGGGGAAACTGGGCTTTTTGTCACTGCTTGGCTTATATCGCCTGACTCAACTGAGTTCTTGCTCTTGGTTGGGCTCCTAGCTTTGGGAATGGGTTGGATACAGGTGGAGGCTCATCCACTCTCTAGATGTCTGGGTATCAGTCAGCCCCAGGTGTGTCTCTAAAGTTCACATGTCTTGGTGCTTCAGGAGTATTGCCTGTTCCTTTTCTCTCCCTTTCAGATCAGAAGCTGTTCTATTACAGTGGCAACGTAAAAATCACCAACATCCGGTACAGTAATGAATTGTCCAGACAGTCCTCAGGAAGGTTTAGAGATCTGAGTGAGAGGGTTGAGAGACTGGTAAGTAAGTCTGGACTGTGTCCTCTTCTGTTATTAGGGACTGTGTGATAATACAGGAGTTGTTAATGTGAACAGCACACTCTTAGATCACGTGTCTGGTGTACTCTGAGCCGCTGCGGTCAGCAAACCTGGGCAATGGATAGCACATGAGTCATGGTCATACCTGGCAGACGAAGCACTCACCAATCTGCTTGTCATAGCACATCACCTGTCTCTGTCCCTGCAGCGGTGGAGTAGATATTGATGATATTCTCAGCTTCCTCCTATATCACTGATATGTGCCTTGTCTTTCCCTGCCCTGAGCCTGGCTTGGTGATTTATGCCCCACTGTCTCTAAGGAAAGCATGCTTTTACACCCTCTCCTTTACAGGGTGGGGAGCTCTACCTGTCAGGCTCTTGCTGTGTGTTGAGAAAACACAAGCCCTTTTCCTGTGCCTTTGGTATCTTTTGTTGGGAAACCCTCCTACAAATAGCAGAGGCTGGTGAGTGGCTCTCGCTCATACAGTAGCTATGGAAATAAATAGACACACTGCAATTTCCTTTCATGCTTTCTCTTTGAGATACTTCACCACGGATGATAATTACAGAGTTCAGCTCTTTACAGCAAGAAGCATGTGATTGTGCTTGTATCTTTTTGTGTTTCATTTATCGGAATCTGATACGTATCTCTAACCTCCCGTTTAGCAACCTTGCGCAGATACTCAGTTAATAGGACAATGAATGCTTTGCTCCCCCCGGCATTTCATGTAGGGCCATGCCACTTTTCCACAACAAAATGTGAGCTGTGGTAAACATTGTTCTGGAGAAGCAGGGTGCTATATAGGGATCTGGCAGTGCTAGCATCTCTTCCCGTCCCTGCTGCTGAGGGCCTTAGAGGAGGAGGTCTTACTATACGTGCTTCCTTTTTGCCCTCTTTGCCTGCCATATTTCCCAAGATCTGCTCCTGGTGCGTATCTGTATGTACAGAGTCTTGCATAAGCTGCATTGAGTGAGGTGCTACCACTTTACAACTATTACCTAATAATTGCAGGCTTGTAACATTGTGATATAGGACCTTGGAGAGGGAACGTTCTCCCTGACCAAGAAGACATTGTGGATTCCTGTGGCAGGAGGAAGGCAAGGGTTGGGAAGGAGTCTTTGAGGAATAACACTTCTTTGAGTAAAGTTGTATCCCTTTCTCCCACTTCATTCCCTCTTCTGTTCTTAAAGATGTGGCTCCTTTGGCAAAGAAATATTTCGTTTAGCTAAGAAGTTCTTTCAGATGGTGTCCAATGCAGTAAGATTTCTTCTGAACGTGACTATTAATTTAGATGCTTGAATGAAAGACAATGCTTTAGAAACTGTCCCCTCTATGGGTGTTGAGCAGTTCTGACAGTAGTGACAGTAAATACCAGTGTTGATTGAGCAGTGAGAACCATTATTTCAGAGCACGTTAATTGTATCTGATAAGCAACACCAAAACAAACATACAGAGAACTGTGTTGCCTTTCTTTCATTCCTGTGACTTTTCTTAAGAGCTGTCTTTAATTCAGGCATTAACTTTTACCTCCCTCTCTCAAATTTAGTGATTTCTTAACTGCAATTTTAGGTCAGCTGATGTAAATAAACTTTGACTTTTTCTAGTTTTAACTCCAGGTGTTCCATCTAACAAGGATGTATGAGATTGAGAATTGTCCATAAGCTTATTTAAAGTAATGCCACTAATGTTTATTGTAAATATGTAATACACAGTATGTTCCTTGTAAGTCTGATAACGTGCTGTGTTCCCTGTAAGTCTGATTCTCTCCAAGTAAAACTCAGCTTGTGGTAATAAATATCAAAGCAAACTTTCCGGAGACATAAATATCCTCTTGGCTTCTTGACAGACAGCTGTCTTAAAATAGCTCCATTTTTATCTTCAAGGTTTTCACACCATTCCTTTAATAGAGGAGGAGAGAGTTGAGGTTTTTTTATCAACGTTTCCTGATTTGTCTGGATTTACCAAAATCCTTTGTGGTCTTTCCCTGGCTCCTGTCAGGGTTTTGGATGTCCGAGTCTTCCCATTGTTATTAGTAGTAACGATACTTTAAGCTCAAGTTGTGAAACAGTGAGTCAATGCAGATAAATGCAATGTCTTTCACAATACCTGGTGCAAAGTGAACAGAAGTGAATCATCTCTGATAATCAGAAGCATTCAAATTACCTGAGTTAGTGCAACTCCCTGCCAAGTGCTCCCGTCTCTGATCCCTCCCTGATGAAGCCTCCTTCGTTTGTCCCCAGAACAACTCTGACAGGAGCTCTTTTCAGAGTTGATGTTTCACCAGGAAAAATGTTTTTGCTCCCACAGAGAAGTCATCCTGTGCCTTCTTGGGGACTGGCAGCAACCATCCTGGTGTTTGCTTTGGTTTCCAGAGTTGAGTAGTAACACCCATGGTGTGAATGTGGCATTCCCAACTCTCTTATCTCATTGAAGGCGGGAGGGAATGCAGCCATGCAGAGATCATGCCAGAGAGCTGATGAAGCTGGTGCACCAGTCAACATCTCAGGGCTGACTGGAAAGTCTGGAAAATGTCTTGTGGGGTGGAGCTGGGGGGACTGAGGAACAGATGATGAAAGGTCTTTGCTCCTTACCTGGCTTCTTGCAAGTGGCTGTAAGGATTCCCTTTGTGCTCTCTTGAAAAAGCAGACCTGACTGAATGCCACTCAGGAAAGAGCTTGCCAGAGCCTCTTCGTGTTTCTAGCTGGACCAGTCATTCTTCCTGTGCCAAGTTCAAATGCACTGTGCCAGACCCTCCCCTCGTGAACTGGATACAGAAAGGATAGTCGCAGCCTTAGTGGCTCCCTCCCCAAAGGGCCTCTTTTTTATAGTGGGTTCACTTAGTGCTCGGTTGATCTGTGCATGTGCCTTAGATGCTGCTGCTTTCCTATGCAACCTTAACCCACTGGTTTTCGCTAGCTCCTGCACCAGACTTGGATTTTTTTTTCTTCTCCCACAAAGTGTATTAATTCTTTTGGATTTCTCAGGAATCTTGTATAATGAAAATTACAATCTTTTCTGTCTGTACATAAAATCCTAAAGATTAAGGAGCATTTTGAGGGAAAAAAAATCCTAATATAAATTTAGAGCATTTGACAACTTCTGTTTTGAAAGTTTTGGTTCTTTTTAGGCGTACTGTTGCTGCAAATGGGAAGCACTGTCATTGGACCAGCATGGTACAAAAAGGGTGCCCTCTATGGGTGACAGTGCTGGAAACAAAGCAAAAATCATCTTTCTGCGGTAGTTCAGCCAAATGAGAAGCATGGCAATCTGACAGTGGGCAAGATGACAGTGAGGTGACCTGTTTGTTTAGCTCTGGAATTAAAGGCTGACTGCACGCTCGACTGTCAGTGTATATAAGGATACAGGTGGAATGCTCTATGCTGAGAGGAAGTAACTCACTGAAAGTACTTGCTTCTCGCTTGTGATCCTTTTTTCAGAAATTCCTGTTGAAATCAGGAGACGATAAAGGCCGCTGGCATAGGCGTATACTGCATTGCTTTCAAAGCTGAGATACTTTCTTGCTTTAACTTCTGTTGCAGGTCACAGTAGCCCAGGGAACTAAAAAAATAGTAAGGAAAATACACAGTACTTCTAAATGCCAGTGTGAGTCGATGCAGTGCATGAAGCTGTGGTTTAGGGTTTTTATGCACCTGGAAGATCTCAAACCGTCAGTGCTCTACCTAAATGCCATGTATTTCCAGGATGAAATGGTTAGTCATCAACCACATGCCGAATATCCAACTTTCTCTCTAGCTTACATTCAGTGATCCTTCAACTTTATTGATTCTTTGGCTTCTTAATACTGTGTAATTTTCTCAAGTAAAAGGCATACAGCTGATTTTTCTTTTTTGTTTTTTTCCTTGGTTCATCAAGGCAGAAGGTCTAATAAGCATGTACAAAGCCTGAAAAATCATAAGAGGGCATCCTCCTGCTCCAACAACAAAATAAGTAACTCTAATTCAGATCCAGTGTGTGGCAAGAAAAGCTATAAAATGTGCACGAGGAAAATGGATGTGAACCTGAGCTGGAAAAAGGAACTCAAAAAGAAATAAAGGGCAGTTATTGATAGTGTGTATGATTAAGGGTAGAATCTTATCTTAATTATAGACCTGAGATCCAGAATTACTGCGTTGTTTACAGGTAATTAAATCAATGAAGTGATTCAAGATGTGAACTGGTGTCACAGAGATCAAAATCTGGCTGGCCAAGAGAGTGGTTGTTTAGAACATGGTGTTGTCAAAAGGGAGAATCCAAATTCCGTACTGAACTTGTGTGATTGATGGTATTTGCACACTAGTAACCTGAATATGTCACCGTTGATCTTTAGGTTTCATAAAACTAGTCTTAGCCTAAGAGCCATTCACTCCTGTATTTCACCTGCTTACCTGTAAGTATTGCTAAAAAAACGCGGGGCGCAGAGTATTTTCCTGGGAAGAGCATGCTTTCTGAAGTAATAAAAGCTCTTTTCTGGATATTGGCCCAGATGGGTTTCTTTACAGATTTGGCTTTTCTCTCCAAGTTTGTCCCCTCCCTAAGTGGATGAAAATTCAATTGCAGTGTGAAAGTTCTAGGATGCTAATTATGGACAATTGGAAGCAGGGAGTAGGAATGGGAGTACTTAGGTGACCTTAATTCCAGCTGTCACTATTACATGGCTATAATGAAACTCTAAGGCCATGACATGCCTTTCAAATTGGTTTTACTAGACATAAGCATGGTACTTTAAATCCTAATGTTATCCCATGTATTAAACCTCTTAATTTCTTTTCTCTGGAAGTCCAGTCTTTTTCGGAGCTACTGGACAAGGTCAGTTACTTTTGCAGCCAATGCCTCCAAGAATCATCCAGATGAGTTCCTTATTGTAGTGCAAAGTCAGTGCTTACTCACCTCCCAGCTTTAGCAGTCCAGTTAGTTGAAACTCCATGAAGAGTTTGTGATACGGTTTGTGGATGTATGGGCTCACGCTGCCCTTGCGTGCTGTGACACATGCTGTCTTTGTGTGTGGTTTCTGATTGGAAAGTTTCTGATCTTCTGGTTTGGAGGCCTGTGGATCGTGACACTTGTTATCCTTCAGAATCTCAGGCGAGTACTGTGGCTCTTGGGCTGTTCGCTGAGGCAAGTAGTTGGTATCTCCGTTTCTAAGGGGAGTGTGATGTCCATGTCCTGGTTTGGGATGCTGTCAGGTTTAGCTTCTCTTGCTGTCTCTGTCTTCTCCTGCCCTCTCTCCTTCTAATCCCTGATAGCATTCCCAAATAACCCCTCAGTTGAAACTTGGACAGGAGGTATGTGATTCCCAAGGGAACTGCTACTGGATTTGTGTTATGGTCTGCTCTGGGGGTCTCAGCAGGTTGGGCTGTAAATTGGGTGCAAATTGGCCAGCAAGTTGGGTGCGAAGTACAGAAGTAACACAACTGATTAGTAGCAATTCATATTCTGTGATTGCCACAAAACTGGAGAGAGTCACTGAACCAGGCGGTATGTTCCTGTTAATATTTATGGTCAAAAAGCTTTAAAAATCAGTAAGAAGAGACTTTACACCCTAAAGAGCTAGTGAGGCAAAAGGAAGAATGTTGTAGTGTGAGGATAGCCATTGAAGGGCTAAACTGGCAACAGGCAAAAGAGCAAGAGTATTGTGCAACAAAAGGATTTGTGCTCCCAAACCTACTGAATGCTTTTGAACATCCCATGCAAGTCATTCAGTGGGTTCAGCAAATATCCCAGAGGAAAGTTCTGTCAAAGTAGATTTAAGTTAACCTTTTTTAAAATCTTGTTACCCTCCATGCAGTGGCGGAGCAGTATATGGTGGGAGAAGGCAAGGGCTGACGCAGCCAGCCTTGTTGGGCCACTTCCAGACCCAGCTCCACATTTGGGCAAGCCCAGCCCCTGTCAGCCCCATGCTACCCTGGAGCAATGGGATCCTGCTTCCAGGCCTTGAGGGTTTTTGGGTCTCAAGGAGGCAGAACATATTGGGCGATTCTGAAATTGTGAAAAGATTTTGGAAAGTTGCTCACAGGGTTGGCCATGCTGCAACACGAGAAAAAGAGGATAATGATGAGATCTGGAGTTATTCAAGTCAGGATAGAAAAACAAGTCTTGTTCATCAAGGTGTAAAGCAGCATATGTCAGATATGTCAGGTTACAAAAGTGAAAAAAAAAAAAAAATCGGGTCAAGTTTGAAGGTGGTAAAGGCCCTGGAGGATCACTGGAAACAAAAACATGGTCCAGGTGGTTTTTTTTAAGGCAACTCTTCAGGAGGTGAAAATTAATGATGGTATGTAACAGGAAGAGAAGAATGGCTACTTTCTCAATCAGATATGAAATTGTAAAAGAGAATGGAAGGAACGCTAATCCAGTAATTTTGGTATAATTTAAAATCATATGCTTACTGTTCTCTCCTTAAAAATAACATCCCTTATGGATTGAATTTCATGAAAAAAAGTCTGTTGCTGATAGCTCAGTTGCATTTGGACCCCTTTAGATTCTTTCTGTAAAAAGCACTGTGTGTAATTGTCAGATGCTGCTGGAAATCTTTGTCTTTGCTTTTTGCATTCCTGATCAGTCTGTACAGAACATCCAGGAAGCAGTCCAGGAGGAGGAGGGAAGGATAAAGCTGGACATACCAGTAATACAAAACACAATCACATGAGTTGCTCAGGCTGTAGCAAAGATGCACTAGAGAATGGGGGACAAACGTAAGGATCCCCGTATCTGCTGCAGAAATGCAGGTGGTAAGTGTAGCAAAACCGCGGTCTCTGAGATGAGACAGTACAGATGGCTTGAAAACACAGCTGCCAGGAGGAGATACTGGGTTCAGTAATGGGATATTGACTTCATCCTCCATTGCAAGGTATTGTAAATTCTTGCCCTCCCTGGTCCTAAGCTTAAAGTCAGCCTGCTTTTGCTTGTCTTTTTTCCCTTACTAATGTATACTTAAAATCACCTTAAAATAATTAAAGAATGTGTAGTTTTAATCTTGAAATTATTCTGCTTCCATACCGCTGTGTAACAATGTCTAACAGCCAAGACTGGAAAGAAGGGCTTTGTGTTCTTTGGGAGGAATCACCTCCGGATGCCATGGTCACACGTTTGTTTCTGTAGCTGAAGGACTTCAACGTGCCTGTGTTTGAGAACCATTACTTCTTTTTCTTTCTTTTGGAAGGCTGAAAATCTGGAGACTTGGTTCTAAATCTGCTTTTAAGGGCTAAAAACTTCAAAGAAGAAAACTTGTATGATTTTGTAAAGCATTTGTACATAGCTTTTTCTGTAATACACTTGATGTTTACAGGACAAGTTCAATGTACTGGGTCTTGCTCATAGGAGGAACTGCATAAGTCACTAGTGACTTTGCTGTTTCTCAACACTTCGGTGATCCTGAGCCATTCCTGGCAGAATTTCATGCCATCTTATATCACACTGCGCTGTCTCAAACTGATCACGCAATCTTGAGAGAACGTTCAGCCTAAAGCAGGATGTGGTTAAGCAGGCACCAGCAAAGATGTCATTTGGCAATTGATTCCTTATGCTCAGAAGTTATGAGTCACAGATTTCTGATTTCTGATGAGAATTGCTTGACAATTCCCCTAGCATATGGCAAAATCACAAGGGTGTTTGAGGAGTGGAATTTGAGATCGCTGGTAGCTTTGCTATCAGTTTTGTAGGACCAAAGAAAAGTGCTGTATCAGAAAGGGTCCCTACAAGAGGGGCTCGATGCAGTGCGGAGCACAGCATGCTGTATCCTGTCTATAAGCCGTCTTTAGGAGGCTGGCCTTGGGAAGATCATAGCAGTGTGTTTCAAGGATGTTTATAAATATCCCTCATTATGCCTGGGAGTGGATGGGACAGTGGTATAGGGGCACACTGATGTGGTCATAGGATATTTAGCAAAATGAGTTAACTTCTTATGATGTGCCTTAGGCCAAATGGGAAGCGGTTAGGAAAAGTCTGTGGCAAATGTTATCTAAAGACCGGGCTGGATTTTGTCTTTGTAGTCTGTGAGTTTGTAAATTCTGTAACCGCATGCGGTTTTCTGAATGCTTCTTCCAGGAATACATTCCTTTCTCTCCTCGTTTGTTGTTAACTTATATTTTTCTTTTTTCAACAGATTGACAAGACATTTCACAATTCCATTTTAAGGAAAAAATACATCCGTTCACGCTTAATCAGAGTGAGGTATGTGAGATTATAATAAACACGTACAGCTGAGATACAATGAAATGTTCACCAAGCCCAGCTAGAGAGCCCTTTGATCTGATTCAGTGAAGTGTATTTTATGTAACACCAAAGCATAATCCCCAATTGAGCACAATCTTATTCTGAACCATGCCCTCTTTTGGATTTTGATGCAGAAGATGAACTTCAGTCAGTCCAAATTCTATACAAGTTTGTGCTCAGATCTTAAGCTTCAGCTAATAAAGCAGATATAACTTGAGTTATCCGGAAATAAAAAACATTTTCAAAACTATTTCCTTCACTCTAATGCAGATATTGTTTTACTTCTGGTGCTGCTACTATGCTGGGCTTGCCAAGTAACACCCAAGCGTGGCTGTGCAGGTTCAGAAGGTCCCACTTGTCACTGTTGTGTCTCAGAGAATAGGCACGAGTAGGTGCCTAGGGAACAGTGGCAGCACTACAGACGTGTATGGTAACTGCTCCTCAGCATGCTCCCTGCCTCCAGCTATCTACCACTTGGGATTCCCAGAAGTGGTTGTGGTTTGTCTGTTGAGCAGCCCCTGGTGGAGCTATTTTCCAAGATCTTGCCAGTCTCCCCTGGACTCTGGAATTTTGTGCACCTCCATCCTTTAGTAAGGAGTTCCTTGGGAAGAACCACCTTCTTTGGATTAATTGATGGCCTGTACTTCTTGTGCTGGAAGAGGTGATGAAAAGTTGATGTCTATCCCTCCTCTCCATGCAATTAGTGGTATCAGGCACTCCCATTGTATCCCTTTTCTCTCCTGTACCCCATGAGCTCTACTCTTCAGTTGAAAGTCCCAGCCTGCCCAGCCGTTCCTTGCAGGAACTGTTCCATGTCACCTTGTCACCCTGCTCTGTATCTCAGGTCTGCTGTCCCTGCTTTTTGAGAGGAAGAGGTCAGACCTGTGGTTTGGATTATGACTAAACAAATTTTTTTTATCTCATTCTCTGTTCTTTTTGACAACAATAGCTTATGTTTGATTTGCATTTTTGAGCACTATTCAATGCTGACAGTGACATTTTTATCGAACAGTCTATTGTAATACTATGATCTTGTTCCTGAGTGACAGTGCTCATCACTTTGCATTGAACCTTGACTATGTTAACAATTTGCACACTAAAGCTGCAACACTAATGACAACATCCTCAAGAACTTATTCTCATGAATGTATTTCACCTTATTCTTCCACAGTTTGTGAAATCCTGCCTCCAGCTCTACCTTAGCTTAGCCCCCAGTTAGGCAAATCACACAAGTCGTTATTTGAATATAGCTTCAGGAATGTTTTTAGATACTGACTAACGTGTTATAAGTGTAGACAAGGTAGTTTAAGGATCCGAGAGGCCAGTCTGTAGGGAGAAGTAATATCTTTCATTACTTCTTGTTCCCAAGGACAGACTGAGGTACTTGCTGTGATGTTTGCTGTGTTGGATGCAAGACTTGTATGTGCCGAAGGTTGGTTGCTTTTTAAAATCTACAAGCTTTATGCCTCTTTAAGTGCTCAGACTGCAAGCTCTTTTAAGCAGGGTCATCGTTGTAGGTTTGCTTGGAATGTATGGTGTATATTTTTGGCTCAGTATGAACAATACCTTAGTAATAATGCCCACTGCTCACTGAGAGAGACAAAATCTTGATTAGGTGTCTTTGGCTCTGGACCTTTGCTATATAGTGAGTGATTCAAGGTGGGCTGTACTTAGCTGAGGGTTTCGAGAGGTGTGGTATGCTTGTGAGAGTTGATACAGTAATTCCAGTGTGGCACAGGACAGGAAGAGGAGTGGGGGGAGAGGTGAGGGAACACCTCAGAAATGCGGAGCAACACCCACAGTAGGATCAGATAATACCTGGCAAATAAACGGAGTGGCAATCATACTGAAGTTGGCACCAAGGGGAAAAAACAGCCTGATGGAAAGTTCATGTAGAGCTACTCGGTCTCAATGGTGAGATCCTTGAGGCAAGGAACATGTCTTTCTGCTCAGCTGTGAAACACTCAGCATGCCTCAGTGTCATAACAACACATGGCCTTTTGTTTTTTTAGGAATACCTGTTTCATTTTGGTGTGTGTTCCTTTCAAAGACCATAGCCTGATCGTATGACTTGTATAGAAGCTACTTGCCTTCTGGTTTTGATTTCTTATTTTTCCTTTTTATGATTACAAATTTCCAAGATGGTGAGATATAACTGGAAGATCTTCTCTCTCCCTTTCCTATCTGAATGATGCTGAAGACAGAGCAGCCTGTTTTTAGCTCGCCCCTTGTATGAAGTCAGTGTGATTCCACCTGCTGTGGGCTGTGTCATTGTTTCTTGGCTTAGGCAGGAAGAGGCACAGGAGACAGGATTCACAGCACATATTCTTATGTTCCGCATGTAATGACCAAGCACGAGCCATCTGCAAGCACAGAGCAAGACTTACTATGCTAGCTTAGACACTTTGTAGTCTAGCATTCACTCTCTTGCAGTATCTGATGCTCTAAGATAAAATAAATAATAGTACTGGGTGAATTCTGTTTGTCATATTTTTTTTCTTCCTTTTGCTTCTTCTGATCTTACGTGGGCTTTGCAGTGGAAACAGCTTCAAGCTGTAGAATTGTGTGTTCCAGCATGGGTACAGTTACAGTTTGTTCTTTTCAGCGAGATGTTAAAGGCCCCTTTTAAATCTGTCTCTTGGATTGTGATAAGTAGATTTTTGGAGATGCTCTTGAGTTTCATTTATTGTTGCACAGCCTGAGGTTATTAGTCATGTTCTCCCAAGTATGGCTGAGCAGATACTCTCACTTCACATGAGGTTGCAGTGCTGGAATTGGGTTGTGTGGTCTTTCCCCTTTCTTCAAAGTTATGACAATTGGAAATTTTTCTTTTGTGCATATACAGGGCCCTGGAAAGGTCTGTCTAGATACTGTTAACCATCTGCTTTGTGTTTCTGAAGTGCTGCATATCCAACTTTTCTTTGCAATCAAATTGGCTCCTGCTCATGTCCCAGGCCTGTAGTCAGTGACTGCTTTTTAGACTCCAGGATTATAACATTGGTCTGGCCATTTGTTCACAAAAAAACATCATGCCATCTCCTAGCCTAAGATGTGTTTGACCGTTCAGCATTTGGATTTCTTTTGTCAATTCCATCTCTCTGAAATGTATGGAATGTTCAAAAAGGTATCTAATCCTTTCTGTTACACTGCCATTGCCAGAGGAACTATGATAAAAACTAAGAAATGCAGAAATGGGCTGAAGGTAACCGGACTGTGTTTTGTTGGTTTGTAGCCCTGATGGCGATGGTGTGATGGCAGAGGCTTTGCTCACCTTCTGGTTCTCCTCCACGGACTCTAGAGAAACATTGCGAGAAAGAGTTGAAAGGATCTTATGGAGGGGCCTGAAAAAATACACTGGGCCCCTGCGAATAAATGTCAGATCTTCTACCATCTCAAGTGAGTATACTGCATCTCTCTCTAAGAGAGCTCTTGCCCTTTTCTGATTGATGGGACTTGGTTTTTCCTTTCTGATGATGGCTGTTACTGAGTCTGAATGACTGGCTTTCTTGCTCATTAAGTTAGAACAAAACAGTGGCAATGTATAAACCCTAAGTCATTTAAATATGTCTTAAATAAGGATTAACAGTGGCTGTTGCTCTGTGGCCTTTCTGTACAGCCTTACCGTCCCTCCAAACTGCCGTACCAGCCTTATCAACCTCTACTCCTGTCAGGGTGAAGAGTAGGAGCCTCAGCACAGTCCTTCAATACACAGCAATACAAATAAACACACTCCCTAGGTCTTTGCTTGTCTGCAAAACCCCAAAGTGCAGAAACTATGCTTGGATAACAGTCTCTGTGGGGAAACAGCAAATGCACTGAAAGAATGATTTGAGGGGTGGGATGGATGGATCCAGACTTCCACTCAGAAATGACCAGGAGCATCCTCTTGTTCTGCCTCTTGGTACTTGAAATGGGCAAGTTGCATTGTGGCAATGCAGTGAAACTCAAATAGAGCTGTCATACACCTATCTTTTCTTGATGGGCCAACCAGTCTTCCTCACTGGAATGGCTCGGGATGATAGGTGACAGCCCTTTGGGCAAAGAATCACCACTTCTCTGTAGTGTTGTTTATACTCTAGAAGGTCCTGTTCAGCAAAGAGCGTGTGTAATTCCTCCTGGATAGAAATAGTGTCTGGGCATCAACCAGAGAGATTAAAAAAAACCCAAAAAATTCTTTGAAAGACAGGTCATGATTTAGTGAATTTTGAAGCTTCAGTTTAATTTGATGCCTTACATAAAGGATAAAATTGGAAGGAGTGCTTGTTAGAAAAGGACTGTGATCCTTCTCTACAAGTTATTTGATTAGCTGCTTTTATTCAGTCTGGTAAATGTGGGAAGTGACTCAAAACTCTGTTTTAGTTGACCTTCAACTGCACCAGGGCTGTTATAATAGTGCACTAGTTGCTAGTTTAAAAAATTAGCTGATACAATTGAATGACAATGTTTTCATTAAACATTTGGTCTCAGTAAAAGATGGCAATCTCTGTGTTAATTTGATGAAGGTGTATGATAAACTTTGTGTTGCTTTTCTTGGCTCTCCCAGCCTAACCATAAGACACTGACTACATAGGTTTACTACTCACTACATGACTTGCATGGTGCAACCGTTCCACGTGACGTGAAGGAACACAAGCAATACCTTGCCATTTCTAGGAGATGGTGACAAAAGGTTCCATTTGGATCTTTGCTAACAGGATTTTGGCAGTGTTCTGAGGCTTAGACAAGTTCCTGTTGCTGCTGTTTAAGAAAACCAGGTTGACTCAAGTGAGGAGTATAGAACAGAGCACTCCTGTGCTTTTGGAGGAGATGGAGGCCTCAGCTTAAGTTTGTCTTCTTCCCCACATCTGAGAGAAGTGACAATTTTCAACAGTTCCTGGAAGGCCAGAGAGGGATCTAGGTTATGCATTTCCCCCTTCTTTCCCCTCCTGAAATATCCTGTACAACATTGGTATTTAAACCAAGGGAAGCTAAGAAGCCCCAGACTTTTCTGTGCTTTGCAGCACCTTTCTAATTTTTGCTTCATAGTAGCTTGAATGGTTTCGCTAACTGGAATCCTTGTGTATCTTGAGGCAATCCCAGAACATTTTCCTAATGGCTTATAAAAAAATAATTAACCTGTTCATTGTAATCACCTTATCAAAAGATTCTAACTTGGGGGCCATGATATAGCTTCGTTTAGCTAAGCATAGCTAACTAGTTGAACAAATCCAGGTCAGGCACTTGTTAACATTGCATGCTAGGAGGGTCTGATAAGGAGAACCTCCTTAAGCCTTTCTCCCAGGATCTAATCATCCTGTTGTTAAATTCGGTGTCTCAACTTGCACTTCACTGAAAAGTATTTGCTTTGGGGATCAGCTCCAACAAACTCCTGCAGATTGGATGCAACACTTGGGATCTCTGGATGCAGTTCAGGGCAGCAGAACAAAACTAAGCAGTCTGCCAGCCCAGGGGTAAAACTTGCTTTGTTACTTCATTCCTGAGGACTGGGAATAATCAGGGGATAAAATCTAAACTGATAGTGTTTTACTAGTTGTTTTGTTTTTTTTTTCAAAAGTAGAGAGAGAAGCTTCATTGTACAGATGTGAAAGAGTAGGAAGTGTGCAAAACTGAACAGAAAAAGCAAAATAATATCGTCTGTGTTTTGTATCATCACTAAACAATAGATGTTCTTTAGATAGGACATTTGCATCAGGGTATCTTCAAATGCATTATTACTGAAGTCTCTGCTTTGTTTTGTAGCTAGGCTTCATAGTCCCCTGGCCAAGGACGGGGGTATCTCCAGACATCCCCTACTGCTATGATAGAAAATGAGAGGTCACGGAGATCTCTGCTCTTGTGTACAAACCCCCCTGGGAACCCAAATATTTTTTCAGTGGAGAATCAAGCAAACTAAGTCCTGTTTTCTCTGAACAGTAGCGCAAGGGCCAGAAAAATGAGATAGCAAAGTTGGGTGACCTGAAAACACCCACGTTAGGGCTTGCTCTTCTACTGGCACTGAAAGAACGTGTTGCAGTTTGACCTTTATATAGTTCTGGCACCAAGGAGGTCTCCTATAAGGCTGAATTTTTTTCCCCAGGGTTTCTTGGTTAGAAGTGGAGTCACCTCACAGCCTGGCTCCCTATTAAACAAAGCGTAAAGCAGCTTGCCAGACTATTTCCCTTTGTTAGGGAGGCTGGAAGCCTCCCAAAATGTATTTTTGGGAATGTACTTCTGATGTCGGAAAGAAGCTGGTTGCAAGATCACTGGCACTGTTCAAAGTGAGTAGGAAGTATTCCCACCAAGGGTTTTGACTGTGAACAATGAGTCATGAATTGGTTTTGATCAACAAGTCAACTGTTATTATTTCTGTTTATCTGGCATCTGAGACTTGCTAAAGCTCCTTACAGATACAAAGTACAGAACCTAGGAGACAGGTTCTCAATTCTTTATTGAGTTGTCTTTGGGAGACACACAGATGAGTGTCTGACCTGGATGACTGAGGAATGTTTCATCTCAAATAACGTATGTCACAGTCTGCTTTTTTGTACCTTACAAGCCGCAACAGCAGCTTGGAGGAGTGGAACAGGACATGCATCTACACATTGGGAAATCAAGTGGAGATCTGACGTTTCCCCACTTGGATGTCATTAGTTTGGCACAAGGTGGTACATTTCAGTGTTTGCAGCTGTCTACAGAGGCTGACTGAAATTAGATGGACTGAAATGTATTATAAAGTTAATATTTTGCAAGGATGTGCTTGTGATGAAGGAACTAATCAGGAAATCATCCTGGCCTGGCTTCCTGCACAACCCAGATAATTTAATTAAATTTCCTCGCTCAATTCTTGTTTTTCCCTTTCTCTGCCTTATGTGCAGAGGTTGCAAGTGATTTGGGCTGCTCCTACTGTAGTGGGACCTTGACTGCAAATGAGGTGTGAGTGTAGGTCAGGAAGAAAAATAATGCTAAAAGCTGTCGAGGTACAGATGTAGGGTGCACGCTACAGAACTGGTACCTAGTTCCCCATGCAGATCCCCCCTTGGGCTGCAGAACACCCAGATGGAGCTGTTGTAAGTATGCTGTGAGGTGTGGACCTCTGTCCATCCTCACAGATGGAATTAATACATGGTTGATGGCAGGGGAGAAGTCATGGATGTGAGGACAGGTCCCATGGACATAAGTCATGAGAGAAGGGCTGGGTGACGGGGACAATTAGAGGTACAAAGTCTTTGTCTTGTCTCTGCCAGGTTACTCTCCCCCGCTGAAGGAATGTGAATTGCATCACCTGTATCTAAGCTGTGTTTTGCTTCGTCCACGGGGGTGCATAACTCTAGGGAGGTAATTCCTGTTGAGAGAGCAGGGAGAATATTGGAAGGTTAGTGGGGAGACATTTTAGGTTGTGTGCGCTACGTAACCACACAAGAGCTTGATCCCAAAGCTCATGTTTTCCCATCTTTAAGGAAACTCCTGCATTTCCTTTTGGGCACAGTTTATGCCACATGACTGAATCTGCTGATCCGAAGGACTGCTCTGATTCTCACCTCACCCCAGAATCTTGGGCCTTCATGGTCTTCATTTAATTAAAGAGTAAAATGTAATTAAAGCAGGTAGAGCTATTCCCACCTCTGTGTGCACTGCAGGGCAGATGCACTCTGTGACATACCTCTCAGCTGCCCAGGTTGGTGACCTGCTGAAACTTGCCGGAGATGCTTTTTTGGCCTCCATGCACCGTTGTTACCTTAGATAATGCTGAGCTAGGTGAGCCCCTGTTTCTGATGCAGCTGAGAATTTTGTAATTCTCTCTGGTTTTGGGGAAGTTGTTATTAAAATGTGGCAGTGGGAAAAAGTTTCCTCTGCTGCATGGTGCATTTCACAAAGCTGTGCTTCAAATGCATGTTGAAGAATGTGGTGTTAGTACTGAAGCACCTGCTTTTTAGATTTTTTTTTTAATGTTTACATTCCTCTCCTCCCTTCATACCCCATTTAAGATAATCTCTACCTTGCCTTCTCTGTGGGGAAACAACAACTTACACAAGCAAGATGTGGGAACTTGATATAATAGAGAATGGAACGTGCAGTTTGCCTTTGAAGCTAGCAGCTATATTATGGCATACAGAGAATCACGGGTGGAAAACTTTACAGAAAGTAAAGTTTCTTGTGGGAATCACCATCTGTGGAAAATGATGTAATTAGATAATGCTGGATCAGATTTTTAAAATAGATTTCTCGTCTTTAGTTTTGCAGCCATCTCCGGCCCTTTCCACACTGAAAATGCATAATATCCCCTAATAATGCATTTGCCTGCCTTGCTTGGGCTACTTCAATATAGTGTCTGCTGCATTTATGTCACTGGGAGTTCTGCTTGTTATTTTCCTTTTAATATAAACACTGGCCTCTGTGGCTAAAGTTAAATGAGACAGTGGACACAAGATTAATTCTTCTGGTGTAGTGACCCTGATATTATTTAGAGACGTGGCAAAGCAAGCACATTTTTCTGTAGGAATCTCTGAATCCCTCAGAGAGAAATGGTTGCTATGAACCTGCAAATGTTTAGATAGTTGCCAAACAGATTCATGGGCTTTGGGCACTGAACTCTCTCAGAAATCCTCTCCCGAACTGGCTATTGCGTATAAACAATTACCAAGATAAAGATGCTTTGCTGCTCTTGCTTACTCCTTGTTTCAATGGATTCCTGTGATTTTAATTTAAACATTAGTTTTATCTTTTAAGTTAGGTAAGCTTTAATTAAATAGCGAGTTCCATTTTACAGGTAGGCAACGCATGTTCAGGTTGAACTTGTTCTTGTTTACAGTGGAAGCCTGAACACTGTTTTCCTAAATGCGGCACAAACAACTATTTTTGCAGCTGTATGTGGTTGGGATGAGATATGACATTTTAATTGTTACTAATTGATGCTTTTTCTTGGTAGTGCAAACAACTAGGGCAACTAGTAAATGAGCAGGGCAGCGAAATTGTCTCTCGTGCCTTACAAGTGATGGCTTCAAGGCAGGGCTTGCAACATGTTGGCTGGCACAGTGCGAGCAGCTATGCTGTTGGCTGGGTGAAAAATGTCAAGCTAGAAACAAATGAAGGCAAGCTCCTCGAGGTAAGCCAGTAAGCAACCTGAGTTTCAGCAGTATCGTGTAACCCAAAGTGCTCCCTGCTTTAGTGGGATCTACTGTGGGCTCGGCTTACCTGAAAATAGTGTCAGTTAGTTCAGGTTTCCAAACACGTACCTGTGTTTGGGATCTTGGTTTTGAGTCCTGGGAATTGTGCCCTTAATTTCACCTGTCCTAAACGGCATGATGGTTCCTGGGTGTGTTGCCAGACAGATGTGCTTTCACCTCTTAAAATCTCCCTTTTCTTTGAGATTTTCTCCGTTCCTGTGGTGTTTTCCTTGGTACCTGTGTTCCAGCTCGTAGTGCAGGATACATGGTCAGGGCACTGTGTCTGGCAGATCTCTACAGCAAAGCGGTGCCCCTACCTGGTGAATACAGCATTGAATTTATTGACTGGCCTCTTTCCTTCAGCGGTGGGTGGGTATGGAGAATACATTGGCTGCATAGTCCTCATATGTTATGAAATATGCCAAAATCCAAAGCTTAAATCCTATTGAAGATTTGCAGTGTGTGTGTGTAAGACTTGTTTCTCCAAATACACACAAGTCGGTCCAGCCAGAACCAATGGGTACATCTCAGAGCAAAATGTTGGCCACATGAGGTGTGCGCTTTTTTTCTTGGTGCCTCATAAAAAGGCGAATAGAGATATAGACAGAACAGCTGCGTGACTCACAGCCAAGCTCTGTGCAGTGAGAACATGCCAGTTGAATTGCTTCCGACACTGCGCTTGAACAAGCTGACTGCTCCTATTGTCTTCTCGATGAGCTTTGCAACATACTCTTGGTGTTAATAATTGACTGCAGGCTTTATAATTAGACATTATGAGGTAAATGTCTCTCCACCCAGAGAGGAGCTAAAAAAACATTATTATCAATATTGCACTTGAAGGCAAAAGGTGCTCTTTCGTTGTTTATTACATCTGTTGGTTTCTTAACCAGTTTCCAGCAATAAAATATTAGCATGACCCAAATGCTGCTGTGGTTCTGAAGGCTATCTGAATTTCTAGGAAAACACTGGATGCTTGTCATAGTTGAAATAAACAAGTAGGGCCAGATTTTTCAGAGCACTTCTTGCCAATCTAAACATATAGGTGAAACGGCCAAATCCTTTGCGCAGCTCAGCACCCTTTTTTTTTTTTTCCTCCTTCTCACTTTGTAACTTACCAGTCATGTTTACACTGCCGCCGAATCCCTCTGCTGGCCTAGCTTTTACTGTCTGGTACTGTTACAGTTTGATGTCAGGGATCTTGGCAACAGCTGACTATATTATCCATGGAAATTCATAGAATACAACCAACATTCCTGAAACGCAGAAGTACCTGTACTTCACGGTTTTCTCCTTCTTGCAGAGGAACTGAGAAAATACAAGTGAGTGTTTTTACCGTAAGGGCACCTGACAAGCTGTTGCTTGCCCACCAGTAAACCTTATTTATCTTTATTATGTGAACAGTTCCTGTTTACAGTGAATAAGACTGTGTTGCTATATAAGTGTCCAATTATAACTCATCTCCCATTCTTACAAAATAAAGCATCATTTGTGTGTGCATACAGCAGTTCTAGCACTGCCTTTCCTCTGTAACGCTCCCTGCAGACAAGCTGGACGTGCACAGGAGTTCTGTTTGTTTCCTTTTCTATCATAATCTGCTTAAGGTCATATTAAGAAACGAATGAGTACATGTCTAGAAATGGTGGATTGCAACCATGCAACTCACCCTGCATACCAGGAGGAGAGTCAAGCCCACAAGAAAAACACAAGTGATATGGGCACAATAGGTGACAAGGATGAGCCAGAGCCCTTTGCATTCAAAAGAGACTCCTCCTGGCTAGGTGTGGTTTGGGATCAAATTTAGGATATTATTCTGTGTAGCTGCAAACAGAAGAGAAAAATAAAGTGGGTAAGGACGGGGATCTGCCACAAAATGTGAAGGTGTGGATGCTGTACAGGAATCACTAGATAATTCAAAAATTGTACTGAAAGTGTGATTTTTTTTTTTTTTAAATTTTGTTTTGACTGCTGGCAACTCTAGTAACTAGATAATTCAAAAATTGTACTGAAAGCGTGATTTTTTTTTTTTAATTTTGTTTTGACTGCTGGCAACTAAAATGGTAGCTCTAGTAAAAATAGCATTTTGGAAGAAGGGGGATAGACTTATACCTTGAGCCAATGCTTGTTATTGTCAGCGTGAGTGTATTGTATTGTCCATCAGCATGTAAATTAAAGGGGGGAATATTGCTAGACCCTGCTGTGCCATGCAATAAATTGCTATTAACTGTCTCTTTTAGTATTAATAGTGTCCCAGACACCCCGTTGTGATAGGAGATAGGAGAAAGCAGAGTGAGCCACGGCTATCGTAAGCTGTCATTGGCGCTGTGAAGTCAGTGCTTTCCGGTCTTGAAGAGGGCACAGAGTGAGTACTGGATCTCTTCTGGCCCTCGCTCTGGTATAAAATGTGTCCAGCTGATTTTTTACAAAAAAGGAACTTCAAAACTTTTCGCTGTAAAAATTTCTCCCCAAGAAAATTGTGTATCTTGAGTACTACAGGGCTTGTTTTGTCTGGATGCCCCTCTGGAAACATCAGGGTCCAGTAGGATGGGGGAGGCCCTGTGCCTGGTCCTCAGAGGATAGCGGCTGGCTGGAGAAGAGCGAGCAGCACTGCAGGGTGCCAGAGCAAGGATGTGACCCAATATGAGCTACACCGGTTTCTCTAGCAGCCCCCCTCAGCCCTCGCTCCTGTGGTGCCCTGCACTCAATAGCTGCTGGGTGGGATGACCGTGCAGATGAGAAACCTTGTCCTGTCCTGGCCTTACCCTGACTGTTTGTTTGTTTCAGATTTGGAGACGAAAAGAGCAGAAGCCCTCTTCAATGACAGTAAGTGAGGGCTTTTTAAGCCTGGGAAATCTCCAATTGTTTTAATTAGCATTAATAGTCTCCAAGTATTTTTTCCTGGCCCTTAAAAGCTTTTTCTCATTCTCCTGTCTAATGAATGTGACCTTATACTACACACAGGTGAGCAATGTGCTTAGAAATCCTGCTCAGTCAAGGGGAAGCCTTTTGTTCCTGTCTTCTGGGATATTTAGGAAAACTCGTCACTGGCTTGAAAATAGTGTTGATGGGGTGAAAATCTCTTTCTAGGAAAAGTCTACCCTTACTGCTGAGTTCCCTGGTCAGGTTTTTTTTTGTTTTTTTTGTTTTGTTGGGGTTTTTTTTTGCAGTGAGATGTTCTTTCTGTCAGAAACATCAGGAATTCTGTGAGAATGATGAGAAAAGAGCAAGTGCCGAGGGTGCTATAGAAATGCCCAGGGTTGGGCAGGGGGGGAGCCACTGCTGCTTAGGTGCCTATGGCGCACTCCTGCCTCCAGCAGTGCTGGTGTGGAAGGTGGAGGGTGCATCTTATAGATTCTGCTGTCTAGGAAACTGAGGACTGAGCGAGTGAGGGCTGAGCGCTGTAATGTTCAGGATGCTTGTTTATCTACTAGCCTGATCCAGGTGCTGTTGGTACCCTGAGAGGTTTTACACCGTGTCTGCTTAATTGGGTATTTGGACACACAGAGACTAAGCCATGCTTCTACATGAAAGCTACGACATCTCCGATGGCTTTTAGGGGTACAAAGTAAAATTGAGTGAGCGTGGAGGACTTCCAGTAAATAAAGGAACTTAATTGCTTGGGCTAGTTGACTGCTTTAACATCAGGCACAGCAGCTAGCTGAACGTGTGCTATAATGTGCTAAAGGCCGGCGAGTCCTTATCAGGGATTGAGTGCATTCTATATTTGAGCAGATTATAGTTAGAAGCAATCTCTATTTATAATAGAGTAAAACATGTATTTAAATAGAATACTTTGTCAAGTCTAATCCTGCCTGCACAGGGCAGATGCCCTGTCCTCTGTCTCCCTGATGTAAAGTATTAAAACTGCATCTTGGAGCAGTGACTGCAGAATCTCTCTAATAGATGCTTGTTGTGGATTCTGTAGCATAACAATTCATCTCCACCTTGTTGCCCGTTGTTTTCCTGTACATGTCCTGAGCGATGAGGTTTACACCTGTCTGTGCACCAGCACGTTGTTCAATTGGTGCTTTAAGGATGGCAGCCTAGCAGAGACCTCTGACACAGCCTGCAAGTGAGGAGTGCCCCAAAAACTGGTAGGATTGGGCATGTGCAGAAAAGTTTGGAATAATGGCTTTCTGCGTGCTCTCAGAAATTGGGAATATGTCATTTTCTTTAGTGTGCACTGGAAGGAAGGAAGGACCACAAGGAAATATAGAAGTTACATCGGACGGTGATTATAATGAAAATGTTCCGGATTTTGGAATGGCTAGTAGCACAGAATTGTTCCTTATGGAATTATAAGGCATTACGATCTGTCTGTTCAAGGTATTGCTGCAGGGGTTGAGTTAGTTTGTTTTAGAGATGTTTTTAAGCTTTCAGAGAAGGAAGTCAGCTTGTTTGCAGATGTAATAGTTATAAAAAGCCATCTTTGTTTGCAATTTGTGTTTCTTTTAACTCTGGGAAGATTTGCTCAGTTCCTTAGCAGCAGGCTGTCAAGTAATGGAAGATTAAAGCACATCACTTTTTGGGTCATTTTAGGTACTGGTGTTCTGGGGCTCTGATGGAACTGTGAGTTTTTCCCTGTGTTTTGAACACAGACTGCTCAGGTGGTTGATAGGATTGTGCAGTTTTAGGACCAGTAATTAAGGATTACCAATAGCTGTCAAGAGGGAGACATGCTAGTGCAGACAGTCTTATTATAGTATCTTTTCCAGCTTTCCTTTCATGTGGAAAGTTTTGGACAAGTAACTGTATCTTTAGATGTCACTGATTTCCTTCATTGTGGTTTTAAATCTCAGGACAGGGCAGACTCTGCACTGAGCACATGACGTTCTCAATATTGCATGACTTCTTTTTTTTTTATTTTTTCAAATTTATGAACAGCTTTCAATCTGCTGTGTTATTGCTGCTGCTTTTGAATATGAGGTACAGTTAACGTAACCTTGTGCAGAACCTAGCAGGAAGGGGCAGAGGTTACACTCTGCATGACTCCAGCATTTCGCTTCTGAGGACTTCAAGGGCCCTGGGGCTGGCAGCTCTTCAGTGACGTACTGCCGATTTCTCCTTTGTCCCCTTCTGGGTCACTGTCTGCGGGAGACAGGCAGTGCAATGGTTTGGATTGTGTTGTCAATATGCAAATAATTCTTAGCTCTGTCTCTTTTTCAATGGATTGGGATAGTCCTGTCTGTCAACTTTCCTAATGTCTAGCTGAAATCGGGGCCTGGATGAAAACTAGTGGGTCTTGGTCCAGGTAAGATGGATTTGGTGCTGTTGGAATGGGAGAAGACAGCTGAAGCAGCTCTGACCCTGGAGGAAGTTTCTAAAGCTACTGGGGAGCTTCAGCTGCTCCTGAATATCCTGAGTTTAGTGGCTGAAACCATGGATATTTTAATTTCTCTCTGGGATTGGAGGATAATCCTTTTTGTCATGGATGCACACCATGCTGGAGGTATCCATGCCTTTGTTGTCTCTGGCTTGGATGAGTGTGATGCTCTTTGCCTGAAGTGGCTCTCCAGGTCCCCTTGCAGACTGCTGTTTGTGCAATGCATGGTTCCCTGTTTCCAGGTGACATCTTGGTGATATAATCTGCATGCATGTGTGGTAAAAACCCATGGCTTGGATCGTTCCCGTCTTACATTTTGTCTTGTTTATGTTTTATCCTAATGACAACCCAGGACATTACAGTTAGCAATCCCTGTATTTGGGAATGGTCCTGGGTGTATGGTGAAGGGTTTTGATTCTTGATTTGGGCTGCTCACGCAGCAAAGCCTGAATGGCTGACCATCATGGCTTTCCATAATAGTCAGCTGTTCATTCAGGCTTGACACAGAATGGGTTGTGCATGAGGATATCTGATTTGAGGGGCTGGTGGAAGGTATGTTTTCTTGTTGATGTTAATACTGCTACAGAACCTAAGTGGTGTGTAAATGTACATGTTTTCACAGCCATGGGCAGGCGTGTTTGCTAAACAGAAGAATAGCTAATATGATCTCTCTCCTTTTTGACAGTTTGTGGGTTACGGCAGAACAGATCAGTCAAGTCAGTGGCAAAATCATCATCATTGCGAATAGTTGGTGGATTATCTTCTGCAGAGACTGGGGACTGGCCATGGCAAGCTAGCTTGCAGCACAATAATATCCACCGCTGTGGTGCAACACTCATCAGCAATACGTGGCTTGTATCTGCGGCGCACTGCTTCAGAGAGTAAGTTTCCAGTTTAGAGACAATCTGCAGCAGAATGTGGCCTACGTGCATCGGGTTGTATGGCTTTCCAGATTTGTACCACACCCCTGACTCTTTCCAGGGGAACAATTTTCTGCCTCGGAGGAGAAAAGTCAGGGTTGAGCAGACCCATCACTGGTATGTTTCAATAAGAAATTAAAGACTGACTCTTTGGAGCAGAACTGGCAATTGTACAGGTGGAAATCAATAGTCATTTGGCATATTCAGCAAAGAAGAGCAGAAAAAGTAATGTGACTGAATGGCAGAATATTTGTTTCGTCCTGCACAAAATGTTTCTAAAGGTGCTCCTTTGTGTCACAGCTAGGTTGCTGCTGCTGCAGGCTGCTACCAGAAGTTACAACCCGACGTTCCTACCCCTCCATTCAGCCATGCTCTCAGGGCACTTTTCTGTTTCAAGTGTGGCAGCTGTGAAGCTGCAGGGGATGTAAGATGGAACAGCTGGTTGAACATATCGTTAACAGGCAAAAAGAGAGATGGAGATGAGGAGTTTTCTAGCAGAAGAGCTTTTTCATCTCATTACACCCTGTGGCCGCACAATGGCTAGATCAGGGACAAGGAGCAGGCGGGGAGTATGAGACCGTGGTGGAGGAGGGAATGCAGGATTGCTCTCTTCTAGCAGCAGTGTGCAATTATGTGGGACACAGTATTGTGGAAAGTGATGGATGCCTTAAGAATCTAGTAGGGAGCTGGCTTAAAGGAGCTTTACAATAAAGGTGCTTACCACGTTTGAAGTCCTGAATACTTTTATTTAGATCTAAATACTTACAGCACTCTTATCTTTTTCAGCATGAGTCACCCTCAGAAGTGGACTGCTACTTTTGGAGCTCTTTTGAAGCCACCAAGCTTGAAACGATCAATCAAGACTATTATTGTTCATGAAAAGTACCACTACCCAGAACACGATTACGACATTGCACTTGTGCAGCTCTCTAAACAAGTTGAGTTTACGAGTAGCATACACCGTGTCTGTCTGCCAGAGCCATCTCAGACTTTTCCGTACAATATTTTTGCTGTCATCACAGGCTGGGGAGCACTTACCAATGACGGTGAGTCCTGAGTCTACCAGGTGACCCACACGTTACATGAGCAGTGGCTCTGGTCTGCTACTGAACTGATGCCACTTGTGTAGCCTTGTGCTGTATGGCAGCATGCCTAATTGTTTGTCTATAAGCAACAGGTTTGTTTAATTGTGAGCAGCAGTTTCTTGCTCCAAAATTAGACTGGACAAAGAGCTACAATCCACTGAAGCAGGAAACAGAAAGAAGACTGTCCTCTTTTTCCAGCCTTTCCATTTCACATTGTAAACTCTTAATACAAGTAACCTAGCCAGAAGCTACAGGTAACTCTGCAAGCTTCCAGGAAAATGTGGAGAGTGAGCTGCAGATGGTGACTTACCCACGCTCACACTCTTATCAGGCCATGTTGGGAGTAGATTTAGCAATCGAACAAAGATATTTTTATTTCGTATTGCCTGCCCAGTCACTAGGTAATTTGCGTTCCATGGTATTGTATGGAACAGCTATAAAATAAATGATGTTACACTTTAGGCACTGTGTACCATGCAATCATTGCTTCTCTTCCTGGTTCAGCTCCAAAGAGAGACTGAGTGTGTGAGCATTGTCCTCATAAGGACCTAATCTAGAGAGAGCAGCAAGCAAATCCTCCACGTTCAACCAAGATAAGCTGGTCCTCCATAAGAGAACATTAAATGTGCTTCCCGTATCTTCATTCCTGCAAAGTAATGCTGTTGATAAATACACAAATTTTTTTCAACTCAGGTCCAGCTCCAAATGCTCTCCAGGAAGCAACAGTGAAACTTATCGACTCAAAAACTTGCAACAGAAAAGAAGTGTATGATGGGGACATAACACCCAGGATGTTGTGTGCTGGATACTTGGAAGGAGGAGTAGATGCTTGTCAGGTAACTGTAGCTGAAAATTAGAAAAAAAGCCCTATTTTAATGCTGACTCCAAAAATTTAATATTAGTCCTTTAAATAGGCTCCATTCAAGGATGTAAGATGAAGGAGCAGTTAGTACGCATCATTTAGTACATAAAACCCATGCTAAGAGAGCTAAATTGGTATAATATTCAGAATAGCATGAAATGAAGTTCTTATTCTTTAACTCAGAATAGATGCTACATGCCCATTGGCTTTTCATAATTTCTTGTGTGAAATCTAAGTAACAATTTGTTTGCAAAGTGGTATGACAAGACATTGACAGAGATAGTGAATGCTGAAATTCTAAACAGGAGCTAAAAATTACATGTCTCAAGTAGCCAAGAGCAGACATCTGAACAGCTGCGAAGGAAGAAGTTTAAGAATGTAGCAATTAAGTTGCCAGCAAAAAATGCACAATCACTCATTGAAATTAAATTCTGAACTGAATCATCTCTGCTATGATATCCTGGTAACAGACTTGGATCAGTGGAAGGAAAACTGTCTGAAACAATAAAGAAATCTGTAAGGAAACCAGGTCTAAATTGAACACTAAGGATACATGTGCGGTACAGATTGGGAAATGTTGCAAGGGAACGTTCATGTTCAAATGAAAATATTCTCATAATGATAACTTTGGAAAAAGTGATTTCTATTAATGCTTTTTATAAAGAATGTATTCATAAGTGCTGGTTCAAAACAGACCCTTTCCCGAATCCCAGTCATACAGATTTATGCCCAAAGCAAAACTCCTTGCAGAATGAGTCTGGGAGGCTCAATCCCTCTGTTCCAGTCTGCCTGGGCATTGAAGAGACCTGAAGAGAAGGGTGGCACTGCTGTTTATTTCAGTAAGGCGTTTTGGGGGAAGATGGGGAATTTGGTCTGTTGGGTGAGGATTGCCTTTCAGCCTGTCAGGTTTCCAGTTTATTATTTCCATATAATTCAGCCTTTGAGAGTGGCTAACATCTTAAGGAGATTCTATCTAATTAGAAGACCAAATTCCTGATGAAATCTTTTTTGAAATGTTATTGCTGCAAGTGACTAAAATAATTTGTTGAAAGGATAGTGGTTACTGTAAAAAGCCAAATCAAACCAAAAAGTTCCTGTTGGCTTAGATTGCTACATATATTTGTGTTTCCCTATTTTGTACAGGGGGAGGACAAGGCAGGTGGGGCACAGTGTTTCACAAAACAGAAGAGAAGTTTGTTTTGTTTTCTTTTTCAAATGAGTTAGGATACTGTAAAACTCCAGAAGACAGGTCAGGGGGTCAAGTTTCAGAAACAGCCTGGTTTCTGCACAAATGGCAGCTCTTGAAATACTGCTTGCTTTCTTCTCTTATTGGACACCTTCCTGTCTCTGAAGAGAATTCTATTTTCCCTTCTGATCAATTAAATCTTTTTTTTCCTCTCCTCTTTCTCTAGGGTGACTCTGGGGGACCGCTGGTTACTCCAGACTCTAGGCTGATGTGGTACCTGGTGGGAATAGTGAGCTGGGGAGACGAATGTGCCAAACCAAACAAACCTGGAGTTTACACGCGAGTGACTTATTTCCGTGATTGGATTACCTCAAAAACCGGCATCTAATTCCAAAACCAAAATGGATTTAACTCCATAGACTACATGTAACTCGTATTTTTCTGTAATTCTGAAAGATTATTTTTTTAGTATATATATTCCTATGTAGTTTTGGTTGAAGCAACTTTTGCCTGCAGCAAGTGCTATCTTTGCTGTCATAGATCCTAACCCCTTGTGAATTTATACTAAACATATGAGATTGCCTGCCTCATCTGTGAGCCTCAAAACATTCTCACTTGTCAAAAATTACGAACTAACATCGTTAAACTAACATTTGAAAGCTACCAATTCACCTGCTTTATAAATAGAAACATTTTCCAGGAAAAAGAAGACACTTTTCTTCAGACACAGCTGAGGTCTGAAGCTGAACATTCTTCCTCCAGTGAAGCAAATGCTGTCACAGCTGTGTTTCTAGCAAAACGAACCCTTGATTATTATTCTTGTTAGAAACTGTCGTCTGCACAGACTGCAGCCGAGACCCGGGATGCTCACCCTGCTTGGTGCTCTTGATAACAGCTAACAGTGGATCAGCCAGGACTGAGGGCAGGTCCTAGCTAAGGAAAATGAGGGTTTCTGTGCCTGCAGTAAGTTGGAAGGCAAATGAGAAAAGCTTGATGATGTTCTTCTGAAGCACATTTGTAAGAGAAAATTTTTGGTGGATTCTCTGAAGTTTAAGTTAGTTGAAACTGCTATTGTGGAAGTTCTTTATCACGGCACTGTGGTGCTACCTCTGGGACAATTCCCTTCTAGACCTGTTCAATTCACAGTATGCTTAAGATACAGAAACATAAGCTCTACCAAATTTGTTTATAATAAGTGTATCCCTACGAACAAACTCGGAAGGAAACCCAGCATTTAAATTTCTGCTAAAAGAAAAATAAATATTTGCCACAAACTGAGAACTACCTATTCCATTCAAGAAATTGTGCTTTTCCAAGGGCATGCCAGCCAGCCAAAACCATCTCACTACAAAGAAAGCAAATAGCGATGAACTGTCTTGCTTCACTGATGGGTTCATCTATGCCATGATACTGTCTTATGAGGCTGAAGAGGAATTTAATATCAAAGAATGGTCCAGATAAGAACTTCAGAGTAAATGCAATTCCTTATACACGGATCAAGCACTTTTCCTACCTCTGTGCATGATGTCTCATGGATTGCTGGTGGAAGGGGGTCCAGGGATATGACTGTTACTGTCCCCTAGAGCCCAGGCCTTCAATACGAGGATCCAAATTGTCCCTCCAGTACTGTCTCCTTCTGCAGGCTCTGGATGACCACCCGAGTGCTTAGGCTGTGAATGCAGGACTTGCAGGAGGCTGTATGAGACATGAAAGAAGCTGCAAGCCCCACAGCTGAACCTACTACAGCTCAATACCTCTCTAAAGCATTCTGCCTCCCCTTCTGCTCAGGATTGGGTCTCTCCTCAGCCTTCCTAGTGTGCAAGCTCTCCAATAGTTGGCATCCCTGGGAATGAGATGCTCATCATTTCTTGAAAACTCACACCCTGAATTAGAAGTCTACATGTGGATGGAAAAGCCTATGTTTAAGCCTCAGTGGTGGAGGAGGTGGTTGTCTTATTATTAGGCTCCTTCCCATCCTTATATATATTTTTGAACGTCAGTAAAAGACAAGATGCCTTATCTCAGAAAGAAATTACTGAAGGTTTTAGTTTAGTTTGGGTTTTGAAATAGTGGTATGTTTATTCTGATTTTCCATGTCCATTAAAAAATGAAAAGGATCTTGGGACAGTTAGGAGGATAGTTAGATGCAGCAAATCCATTTCTTTAATTTATTGATGAAGTTTGTAATTTATGCACTTTTGAGTTGCTGCTATTTTTCAACTAAGAATTTACTCTGGGCCAGGTTCAGTTACGAAACAGAAACTTCATGGAGTTTTGGATTAGGTCACCTGGAAACACTTAACTTCTAGTGTTCAGGTCCCCCTTTTTTGAAGGCATCCTTTGGAACAAAAAATTACATCTAGTTTTTTGTGCCTCTTATTGCTTTGAAGGTGAAAATCATGACAAGTGTCCTTCCTTATTATCAACTGATGAATTGCAATTGAAAGAGAAGAGTAGTTCACTTTCAGAGATAGCTAAGGCTTTGTTTTGTACTTGAATCCATCTTTTTGCCTACAAAATGGAGGGGCAACAATAAGGGGATGAGGCCCAGATTAGATACAACCCCTATAAACTGGTTCCTACCTCACACTGCAAGTAACATGCATATATAATACCTTTAAAACGAGAAAGGCAGCCTTTATTTCAGATTTTCTCATGAGAGGCCGAACAGCCAAGAGGCATGTGGGAGAATGTCTACCTTACTCAGGGAGTCCTGAGCCAGCCAGATGCATTTTTCTTCACAAATGCTTTAGCAAACTGTCTGGCCTGGGTTTGTCTTATACTCTGTGTCAGTGTTTTATTTATGAAGACTCTAGAATACTTTTCAGTCCTAGAATAAAGCAAAGAGAATATTCTGTGATTAAAGAAAAGATTTTTAAAAGCCTTTTATTATTGTTGATGTTAAGATTTAGCAAGGATTCAAACAATATAAAGGGTAATATGTTTCATAACATTAAAAGTATTTAAAAACATTTGCTCCTTTTTGTCTTGTTTTGATAATAACAATCAAGGTAAAAATTGTGTATGATTCAAAGTAGACTAATCTTCGTTGTTTTGATGTAAGACCATTCTAAAGCTGCAGTGCTCTCTGTTCATTGCCCACTCCAGGAGTTTTGTCTTTCACAGTGGTTGGAGCTTTACAGATCTTCCAGCAAAGACAAAGTGGGATATCTGTCTTTCTAAAATACTTAAAGGTGAATTTCAGGTAAGCGAGCTGTATGCAAATTTGAGAATGGATCTGAAACTTCATCTGAGAATCACCCACCTTGCTTCTGGCCTTGGAAAAACTTCTTCTTTTGGCACTCAGCTGTTCAGACCTCTACGCTGCTGACTTACCAGTTCTCCTGAGATTTCCCAGGCAGATTCACAGCATCAAGAAATGTGTTCCAAACTTCTGGCCATTCAGATCAGGTTGTTTGAGGCTCACCCAATACTAATTTTCAGCCTGGAGTGCAAGTAGGTAAGAAATAAAAGGCTGATTGCACAAGGCCTAATCATGTGAGGAGGTCTGGATGAATGACATCAAGCCGTCACTGGGATTCCTTGTGTAAGTAAAGACTGTAGAAACTCCACTTCTGTATCTGCTGCTCCTGTTAACAAATTAGAAGAGCTGAGAGCCAAAAGTTATTATTTAACCCAACAAATATTTATCTTTCAGCTTGCAGCCTGTGTTAGAGATGCACGTGCCTGGAAAAGCTGGCTCTTGGTTTTGGAAATGTAGTCATGCGTGTGCCAGTGTGGAGTCAGCTTAGGTAACCGGTGCCTTTGTTTATCTGGATCAGGATTTTAAGAATGTTGTTAACATGGTTTCTAGGAAGGTGTCGCTTGCTAGAGCAGCCTTAAGTGGAGTTGGGAATGTTAGTTATTGTTTGATTTATTTAATCAGATTTACTAAGAGTTTACAATTTCATGTATTTTTAAAAGAGGAGGTTATGTGGAAAAAGAAAATTCAGATGGCTCCAGATGTTTCAAATTTTGCAGTCTTGGAAAATTAGAGCAAAACCTGTATGTGTTTTGATTTGGTACCATCAACCTAGAGGACTCCTGAGTGGATCTGCTGCTAGTTGATGCATTTGGGAACCAGTTTCTTTGGCTTCTGGGGTAAACAGGATCTATCCGGTTTTATTTTTTACTTTATCTTAGAATGCCTGTGTTCATGGTTTCACTGATGTTTTACTTTATCTTAGAATGCCTGTGTTCACGGTTTCACTGATGGTTAGTCTTTGCTTAATTACTGCTAAATTGCTTGGCAAGAATTAACTCAATGTTGCTGTTCCTCCATTTAGGCAAAGGACTCCTCAGTATTCACTGTCATGCAAAATCTGTTTCGTGTGAGATGACTGCATATTGAAGTGACTGGTATCTCAAAAAGTGCAAAAAACCAGGACTGAAAGATTTTTTTTTTAATTTTTCACAACACATGTCATTGGTAAGTTCTTAAAAATAAGAATTGTTATTTAACCTAATTTATTTTTTTTTTAAATAGGCTCATCTTTAAGGAAAGAAGCCACAAAATTGAAGGTAAAAATCACTCACAGAACTAAAAATTGGCAAAGTGGCAAAACTGAAACTGACATTTTTTGCTCTCTTTCAATGTCCCTTCACTTTTCCCCCACCCTTTATAGCTGGGACTGCTGTTCATTCTGTTCATCAGGTACGTGCAGCTGCTCTTTTGAAATTACTTTTCTGAAATAACAGAATTAATCTGGTTCTTGTATTTGCTGATTTTGTATTATGTGAAAAAGACACAAAACAAATATCAGCCTTAAATATAATTTTTTTTACTGGTAAGAATTGCATGTGTCCTCCTGAAGAACTGTACTGCTTTCTGCCCACATTTCCAGACCAGCATTTCAGACTTCTAGTGGCCTCTAGTGGTTCTGTGAAGTTTGTCCATATCTTCTCTAGTTATTTCTGTGTGTTAGGGGAAAAAAACCAAACCAAACTGTTTAGCAGAAAAGTACCTTCACCCTGATCCTGCCACAGCACAGCCCACATTCGAATGAGCACAGTGCTGTCCAGCTGCTCTTGGGCTTTGTTACTATCTCAATACAAAAGCTGCGTGCTGTGTTGGACTGACGTGTAAATCTCAAGGAAGACGTGGAAGGTTGCTATAACTGTTAGTTAGAGTCACAGGAGAGATAGAAGGTTGCTTTAACTGTTAGAGTCGCAGGAGAGATAAAGGCTAAAATAATGCATTGGATGCTCACAAAGAGGACGAGACTTGGATTGTCTTGTGCGTATAAGTTCCCCAAAACCCAACCAAGACAGAGAAAAGGCTTTTTTTTTTTTCTCTGTACTGTCAGGTGGCAGGTAGTTGGGCTTTTTTTTTGAAAGTTATAGTGATACGGATATTTTTCAGTCATTGTTGCTTGTACAATAAAACGA